TGTTGCCAGAGCTTCGCCGATGATGCTGGTTGTAATGCTGGTGGTGTATTTGCGGAGGGAGGCATGCAACTGTGTGGAGGATAGAGCCCAGGCCAGCTGCAGTCATTCTTGTCCTATAGGTCAATATCAGGGCTTTTGCGCTCGATCGTGTTTCTACTGCGGTCCGACACCCACTCCGACACTGATCCCGCCAACACCAGCTCCGAGCACCATGGTGCCATCTATAAGCCAGGTGCCAACGGCAGTTTGCAATGATGGATTCCTGCAGCGAGATGCCAAAGACTTCCTGCGAGATAAGCTAGGGTGGCCAGAGCTCTGCAGAACCACTCAATCATCAACTACATGTTGCCAGGACCTTCAAGAGAGTGGAAGATGCGAGACTACTCTTGGGCTAGAGGGTAGCCTTTTTGGCTATTGCGCCAAGACTTGCGGGTACTGTGGATTTGACGGCTACGAGTTTCAGAGTGATTACTCGGGTCCTTCCCGGCTTGAGTCCCCTATCCGAGCCTTATCATCTCATCTCCCGTGCACAATTCTCAGTAGGCGCACAAGCATCAACTCCAAGGATATGATGAGCAAGATCTTAGTCTTGGCAGTCTGTGGTGCTCGACCAGAGACAGACTTTTGGGTTCCACCAACAAAATTATTCCAGGTGTGTCTGCCGTGGGCGTAGTGAGTGGTGGATTCGTTGCGTTTCTTCTATTCTTGAATCACGCATTTGACACCTCAAATGATAAACGAGATAAGGGTATGAAAGTTGTGGCTCTTTCAGCAACGTTTTTTATGGCAGCCGCGTTCCTCGCAGTCGGCGCTACCTGCACACCAAATGTCCAAGTTCGAGGAGCTCCCGCTAGCCTTGGAGACGTGGAAGTCAACGACATGAATTTGCGTGTGATCAACCACGATGTTCTGAGGAGCAGTGTCAAGTCATACCGCATTGTAGATAGAGGGAATAGGCAGGTCCACCTATCGTTCGTGGCCAAGATAACAGCTCACACTGAGGACTGGGGTGCCCTAACCTCAGTCAAGCTCCACGCCGCAAAGCTGGAGGGGCGCTATGTCCACGACGACCGATCTCAAAAGCTTGGAACTATAAGATGGGAGTCTACAGACCTTCAGCTTTGTACCGTGTTAAATAATAGATTTGCCCCAGTCCCGTAGAAAGAAAACATTGAATGAGCCCCAAACCTGAGCCCGCGCAGGCCAGGTTCAGAGAAAACATTCACGAGTCTCATGAACGCAACGTTCACACGTGATTCCTTCTGGGGAGCCTGGATGACCACCGACTATCACAAGAATGAAGTCGCGCTGGAGTTTGGGCCTATTGACGTGACATTCAAAACGTCCCCCGTTTTTGCATCTACACGTAGACAGACCGCTTATAGGCGAAATTTGACCTTACACCGGATAATTTCCTGATGAGCTGGCTCCTTAAATCTTCGGACTTATCCACTTCTTACAGCTATGAATGCAACTACACAATCTTCGTTCAGGCTCTCTTCTACAACTCAATATCTTGTGCAGCCCCTCCTCTCACTGACACAAACACAGCACGTCTTCGTGTCTCCATCTGAACCAAGAATCGAATCACATTGATGCTGCATGCATTAGGTCGATAGGCGACTCCAGGTTTTATCTAAGGCGTGCTACGTTCTCGGGGCTGTCGCTTTTGTCATCTGCATGGGGCTGCAACGCCGTTGGTTCCCACCACCAAGGATAGTCGTTGCAGCTATCGAATGCCATGGGGAGATACCCCAGGTCGAAGCGCTATTCTGAGTGCACATTATTCATTCTCTGTTCTCTAATGCGCAATTTTGTAGGCAAGGATGAGTGACGCAGATTTGAGCCGACCGCTCGCCCTCTGCTCTCTCAACTTCGCACTTGCTGAAATCACTGTAACAGACGCATCTGGAGCGGCCACGATGATACCGGGCACTTCGGAGGAGTCTAGTATTATTTATGAGGTGCACACGCCCGTTGAGCTGGAGGAACATGAGGTCCGTCTCACCAAGCAGCCCTATGACCCTTATCCAGAACTACGAACTTGTGCCACATATATTGTCCAGACAAAAGTTTCACCTGGTGCCATTTCAGCTGCCAAGCTCCAAGCGAGAACTGAAGAGGGTTTTAAACCTCGATGTGTGGAGGTTGAGATGGTGGACTACGCGCTACCCTACGAAGTTAGTATCGAGGCAGCTTTGCGCAAGGATGGGGCTGCTGTTCAAGCCATTCCTAATGCTAGCAGACCAAAATCAAGGGATTCTAGGGAATCCGTGACGCGGAACCTGTCTGATGCTCAAAATGACACAACATGGACGACTGGAGGTCACATCCAAGACCCCCCCCCACACCCCTTGCAGATGCATGTTGCGCAAGCTCCTCATGTTGAGCCTGTCTGTAGTGGGATGGCCACCTGCTCCACAGCGCATGCGATGGAGCGTCTGGGCCATTCTTCCGGGGCAGATGAAGACACAAACCTCATTCACCTTGACGTAGATTTTCGTAGGTAGGTACTAGCAGGCTAAGGGCAGTCTAAGTGGGAGCTAGGGCGTACTTAAGAAGGAGGCCACTGCCAGTGGCACTCTAGAGTAGACTCGGCACGGTCACGGTGCCACAATAGTGGGGTTTCCGTCCACTTGGCCTTTCGTATCTCCCAGGGCGGGTGCTTCATTTGTGCCGAAGGAGGGTGGTGGGCGGGCCAAAAAATATAAGCCGCGCCACCCCGGACCCCGGGGAAGCGGCGAGCTGGGAGAGGACCACCACAGCCAGATGTTCCGGTAGAGGTCCCGCGGATGTTCCGGCCTCCGGCTCTCTCGGCCCCCTCGGTCGCGTGTTCCGGTTCGCGTCCTCCGGTCGTGTCCCGGCGTGTTCCGGCGCGTTCCGGTGTTCCGGTAGATTTCCAGACGCCTGGGCATCAGGCCAGGCAAATTACGCACGACGCCCTAGCGCACAAAAACCAGGAAATTACCCTGAGGCGAGGCACAGGTCGTCGTCAGTGCACAACAGGTGCGCCAAATTTATCTAGAGTGGTAGCAGCATCGTCGCCGCCGCTGCCGCCACCGCCGCCGCCGCCGCCGACGACGACGACGACGACGACGACGACGACGCGCGCGTGGGTATTCGAACCTACAATCGGACAGAAAACAGCACAGGGGAGGTCAATATCGTTCGATGTGTCAAACTGTAACGGCAATATATACGGGGCTGCCAAAATCGAATCGGGACGCGCACACCGCAGCCGCAGAGATCGAATCCGGCAGCAGAACTCCTCTTCCGGCGCGCGCCGCGCGCGTGTGCCGGCAGGAGGCTGTGTTCCGGAGCGCGCGACTCCGGGCGCTCCCGGCCGTTCCGGCGTACCGGCGCAGCCCCCAGACGCTGCGTGTTTCCCGCGGTCGCCCCGCCCGTTTATTGGCGGTCCTTTAATGCTAGGTCCCAAAACACGCGTAAAAAACGCGTAAAAACGCCAAAAAAAACGCGGTCTAGGAACCCGCGTAATTTACGTGAGACACGTGGTACATTTTTTTTTCTCCTCAATTTTTTTTTAGAGAGAAATACCCCAAACTAGGGTACTAAGGAACGTTGAAGTCAACGTTACGGGGAAGTGCAGTGTCATCTCCATAGTGTGACGTCGCGATATAGAAGGAACAGGGTAATGTAAATTATGGGGATGATGGGGAATCACGAGGCTACTCAATTCAGGTAGATCCCTTTTACAAGTTCACTACACTGACTACGAGGAATTCCCTTTTCAGGTTCAGCCCCGCAACTCTCCTTACGCATAAACCGTGGAGAATTAAAGTACAAGGGAGGAGGGGAGGAGCCTAACTAGGGATACTCTCAGGATCGGGATCCTCTAACTAGGGAAAACTCTCTATTTTTCTAGTCTAAATCGACGCCGTTTGCATCTCGGACCCCCGGCGAAAAAATAAAATAAAATAAAAAGTTCCGCGTAAAAAACGCGTAAAAACGCGTAAACACGCGCAAAAAACGCCGTGGGGCGGCCCACGTAAAAAAAACGCCGTCGCGTAATTTGGGACCTAGCTTTAGTGGAGCGACTAGTTTAGGGCGATTTGAACCCAGGCTGGCAAGCGACAGGCAAGCGACGAGGGGCTTTCCTAGAGCCGCTTCCTAGGACGCGTGCGCGTTGAACTCCCAGCGTTCGCGCACTCAGGTTGCACCCAGGTCAGTTCTCGAGGGGCCTGGGCTTGAAATGGCCAACATCCACCACGCGGCTAGGAGGGCAGCACGGCGAAACTCAGACCTGTTGGGTCTGCCATCAGGGCTGATCAACGACTTACTGGCGCCCAGCTTTGAGATTCCGCTTCCGCGACCTGCTCCAACATAAGTGCAAGAGTCAGTATGCCATTCGATAGGCGGTGTGGCTGTTTGGGTGTGTGCGAATTGCCGCTTTACAATTCTGACCGGTACAATGTTTAGATGAGGTCAGCAACATTCATGGGCATTTCTTCGATCTGTGTATTGTAGAAGGCCTCAATGTCACGCATGTAGCGCACATCACCCGAAGTGAGGAAATTAATGGCAACGCCCTTGCGGCCGAAACGACCGGATCGCCCTATTCGGTGGATGTAATTCTCACGATTGGTAGGCAAATCGTAATTGATGACCAAGGAGACCTGCTGCACGTCAATACCGCGAGCAAGGAGGTCAGTAGTGATAAGAACACGGCTTGAACCCGAACGAAACTCGCGCATGATGATGTCGCGCTCCTTCTGGTCCATATCACCGTGCATGGCAGAAACGGTGAAGTCTTTCTGGGTCATCCCATCCGTAAGCCAGTCCACCTTGCGCCGGGTGTTGCAATATATGATTGCCTGCGTGATGGTGAGAGTCTCGTAGAGGTCACAGAGAGTGTCTAGTTTCCATTCTTCGCGTTCCACAGCAATGTAGAATTGTTTGATACCCTCCAAAGTCAACTCGTCTTTCTTGACAAGAATACGGATAGGCTCCTGCATGAAGCGACTCGTAATTTCAAGCACTTCTAGAGGCATTGTTGCTGAAAAGAGAGCGACACGAACTTGCTCTGGGAGGAACTTGAAGACATCGTAAATCTGGTCCTTGAAACCACGGGACAGCATTTCATCTGCCTCATCTAGAGCAAATATTTTGGTGTCTGCAAGACGGAGAGCACGGCGATTGATCATGTCATACACACGCCCAGGTGTGCCAACCACTACGTGGACACCGTTTTGCAGGGTCCGTATGTCGTCACGGACGGCCGTTCCACCCACGCAGGCGTGGATACGCACTGACATGAAATCACCGAGAGCGATCATGACCTTAACGATTTGCTGTGCCAGTTCACGCGTGGGAGCCATGGCACTCAGCGAGTCCATTATCCACTTGCTGCAAGATGCCGATCGAGAACGTGGCAGTCTTGCCCGTTCCCGACTGGGCTTGGGCAATAACGTCGCGACCCATCAGCATTGGTTTGATCGCCTATGACTCGAATTATGACTGGTTGGCTCGAATTATGAGTAGCGACTTACTCGTTGTTGGATCGCAGACGGCTTCTCGAAACCATACCTAATGGCAATTACCACTTTTGCTTTTTTTCATTGGTAATGGTCATTAGACCCAACAAAAATAACAAACGACGACGACTCACGCGTAGATCCCGCGAAGAAGTTCCTCGCGCAGCTCCATGTTGTCGAAAGTCTCTATAGCTTCGTCCCAGTTCGTATCGATTTCCTCATCCTGGAAAAGATTTCCTCAGGAAAATTCGTAGATATTACGGAGCATACCTTTACGAGTGCCGGTGCGTCGCCTTGCTGCTGGTCTGCCGTGGCGTCCATCTCTGTTTTTTGTCAGCGATTCGCGATGAATAGTTATCGCTGTTGGTAAGCCTAACCCTTGCTTTCCTCAACGGCCGGGCTGTGCACGTTATAGTGCCGGAATACCCGGTATGGGCAAAGCGGGACGGGTATATACCGGTATATACCGCCGGTATGGTAAATACTCGGTATATACCGGTATTTATGGAGTACTCGGACCCCTCTACGGTCTCCCGGCTCCGCGGCGTCGAGCCACCGTGACGGCGCGCCGTGCCAGTCCCACTGCGGCACGCAGAGGCGCCCGGCGTTTCCGATGATTAGAGAGGGCGGCGCGTCGCGCGCATCGGCTCGACGGCGCGTGGCCCCGAGCCGGGCGAATTCGGGCACGCGTGCGCGCCCGCGCGTGGCGCGCCGCGGTGATAAATGGCGACCGTCGGACTATCGAGGTCAGAACGCGAGTGTGATTAAGCACAATCAAAGTGCGCTTGGCGATAAGCCAGCTACCTAGGGAGCCTACATTCCGCTCTTTGGGCTATGCTACCCTAACTCGGGACTATGCTATCCTCCAGGGCTATGCTGGGGCGCTCATACTGGCCTATGCTGGCCATGCTAAGTCTGCCTTATACTGGCTATGCTCATGCTATACTATGCTGGTGCTTCATACTAGCATACTCGGATTCTAACACGGCATATACTTTTTCTTTTTCGTATCCACTGGCAAAGTTTGTATTGTGATCACGTCGAGCCAAATCGAGCATGAGGGGGTCGGATAATACAACTTGACTTTCGTTGTTCCCACCCCTCAGAAACCGACGCGCTTGTTCAAATGGGCCGGGTCTTCGAATTAATTGCGAACATTTTTCTGGACGATTCGCGGTTTTCGTCTCGCCTACGTCTCGCCAGCACTCTGGAATTTTCCACCGCGCGTCGCCATCGGTAAGGTTTTGCTTACTTGGACCAGCAACCGCTTCCGACGGCGGGCGCCGTAAGCTCAGCGCGGCCCGTGAATTAATTGCGCCGACCCAGGGGTGTTACAAAAGCAAACGCCTTGGTTAATTTATTGAAGTAGTAATCGAAAACCTCATCGAAATCGTACAAAACTGCATCGTTTCGACCGACGGATAACGCTGCGATGATGTGATGCGCCGGCACCGCGCCGTTTTGCGCCAGGTGGTGCACGAAAAGCGCGCGTGCTGCGCCGGGCAGCGACGACGGGGTTCGGGAGCTCAAAAAATCCTGCTGGCGGCATTCTGCGGCGAGACTGTCGATCACTGCGACTGCGGGGCGCGCCGACTCGATTTTTGCATTCCCGGGTCCATATACCGTGACAGCTGGCATGGGGCAACTCATCACCTCTCTGCGGTCGCCCTGCGACTGAATTAGGTTCGAAACTCCCCCGCGCGCGCGACGACGACGACGACGACGACGGCGGCGGCGGCGGCGGCGGCGGCGGCGGCGGCGGCGGCGGCGGCGGCGGCGACGACCGACCTACCGACCGACCGACCCAGAAAATAAGTGCCAGGAGCCCCCTGGGGACCTAGGGGGGTCGCCCGACGCCTCCCCAAGTACGCCCCCATCGGACCCGGTCGAATTTTACAAACCCAGACCCCCATGCTCGATTTCACTCGTCCCGAGGCAAGTCTCCGCCGCTAAATATCCCCGCAGTCAAGCTTCGCAGCACCACTGCGAAGGCGTCGCGTGCGGGCGGGTCATCCGTGAAGCCCGCAGCCGCCGCGAGAAACGCCTCCAGCGCGACCCGCGCTGGCAAGGCTCGCACCTGCTCAATGAACGGGCGATCCACCAGCTCCGGCGGCGGGACCGGGTTGGTTCTAACCATGGCCGCCGCCTCCCCAATTTACCCCATGCCCCCTCCTCAGAAAGAATTTCGCCGGCGGGCTGCTTCAGCAACGCCGGCCAGATAAGAGCATAAGGAGCGAGTATCGACTGAGCTGCAATAGTAAATAACAGCTCATTCTCTCTCTCTCCTTTGGGCGCTACTTTCCTGGCTAATCGAAGATTACCTGTACCTAAAATTTTACAATAGCTCTACAATAGTATGTTTCAAGGACTGACGATTAATAGACCGACTGACGGTTCTGGTCAGCCCGTGACGGAAACCGCGGGCGTAAACCTGGCCCGTCGACGGCGCCGTGCGGCGCCATAGAGGCACTGCCGTGGTCCGCAGGCTTTCCGTCAGTCCTCTTGGCCCCACGGGGCTGCCACCCGCTGCGGCTCGGTACGCGCGACGCCGGGCGACGTGAGCGACCTCTGCACCGGGTCCACGGACCCGCACCGCCGTTCGACGCGCGTGTCGGGGCGGCGACAAGTGGTCGTCGCTCGTCGTCGCCCGTGTCCGCGGGGCTGGCGCGCGACGTGGTCGGAGCGTCGCGCGGCGGCGACCGGACGCGCGCGGGCGGCTCCGGCGACCTCGGCAGCGATGCCGCGGTCCCGGAGCGCGTCGCGGACGGCGGCGGCGACAGGCAAACGAGCTCGTCGTCGCTCGTGTCCGCGGGGCTGCCCGCGGCGGCCGCGCGGCCGCGGCGGCGGCGGCGGCGACGGAGAAAAACCTGGAGCTCGAGGGCTCGCCCGGCGCCTCGGGCGTGCGCGCGGATCGCGTCGGCGGGGGCGCTAGGCAGAAGACCTCGTCGTCGCTCGTGTCCGCGGGGCTGCCCGCGGCGGCCGCGCGGCCGCGGCGGCGGCGGCGGCGACGGAGAAAAACCTGGAGCTCGAGGGCTCGCCCGGCGCCTCGGGCGTGCGCGCGGATCGCGTCGGCGGGGGCGCTAGGCAGAAGACCTCGTCGTCGCTCGTGTCCGCGGGGCTGCCCGCGGCGGCCGCGCGGCCGCGGCGGCGGCGGCGGCGACGGAGAAAAACCTGGAGCTCGAGGGCTCGCCCGGCGCCTCGGGCGTGCGCGCGGATCGCGTCGGCGGGGGCGCTAGGCAGAAGACCTCGTCGTCGCTCGGCTCCGCGGGGCTGCCCGCGGCGGCCGCGCGGCGCGACGGCGGCGGCGTCGACGGGCCGCGCGCGCGCGCAGTCGAAGACCTGGCGGTCCAGGGCTCGCCCAGCGCCTCGGGCGCGCCCGCGGACCGCGTCGGCGGCGGCGACAGGCAGACGTCGTCGTCGTCGTCGTCGTCGGGCGACGCGTCCATGCCGCCGCGGGCGAGGGGCAGCCCGCGGCGACCACCGCGCTGATGCCCGGGGGGGTCGACGCCCCGGAAGCCGCCTGCGCGCCGCGGGCGACGGCGCGCGCGGCGGCGGAGACCGTGGGAAACCGGCGCGGCGGCGGTTTGACGGCTAGAAACTCTCCGACTGGCACTTTTGACCTCCGACTGAAACTTTTGACCGTCAGTCCAGGGAAGGAAACTTAGCGGAGTGGGTCAGACGGAACTGAGACGGCAGAAGAGCTACTAGTACAGCTGGCACAAATCGCCAATTGGATCGCTCAGTGATGGAGGCGCAAAGCGAAGCTCATAAGATTGAAGAGCTCGACATCAAGAATGCAGACATTCATAAAGTTGACGCATCGAGGACCGTATCTCGCAAACGTCAGTGTCGCTCTCCCGCTAAAGGACTGAATTAGAGCAATTTACAGGCCCGGACAAAAGCGAGTTCGATGCTAAAATAGTGGCGCTCAATGATGAAGTACAGGACTTCAACGAGCGGCTTTCGGAGGTCGACGCCAAGATTGCCGATGCAAAGAGTTCGGGGGGTGATCAGTCAGAGGAACTTCGCGAGGCCCGCACTACAATGAAGTCACTTCGTGAACGTAAAGATGCTATCATGCGTGATCGCGCCGAGATCGCCGCGCTTCAGAAGTCTGCGAAAGCATCCCTCGACTCTAAGATAACGGTGATTTCGGACCTAAAGTTTGGTGTCAAGCCTCGTGCGCTTAGGCTGGGCGTTCACTGCGTGCGGAGCTGAAGTACACGTCACCAGAGGAGATAGACAAACAGATTGCAGATTTGGAGAAGCGCCAGTCTACCACGTCAATGTCATTAAAAGATGAGAAGGTTCTGCTCAAAGAGATAGACCACCTCAAACAGTCTAAGAAGTTGGTCACACATCTTGCTGCCAATAATGATTCGATCTCCTCCGAGCGGAAGAACTCGCAGTCAATTTCCGAACAGCTCTCTTCCAAAAATGCTGAGCTTGACGTGCTGAAGAAAAAAATTGACGAGCAGAAGCAAATCCTGGAAACGCTTAACGAAGCCAACTCTGAGCGGCGGGCAGTACTACCAGCTCTCTTCAAGGACAAAGACGCCCTACGGAAGGAGAAACAGGCAAAAGTAGAGACCATTAAGGCGCTCAGGGCGGAGTTTCGTTCATTGGAAAACGATTTTCGCGAGTGACAGTGCTCGACATAACACTCGTGAATTTCGACATATTCCCCAACTGCAGGTGCTCACCAGCGTGAAGTTCGTCGCGTCAGGAACGAAGCTCGCAAGGCTGAAGATGAAGCCCGTCGTGCAGAGCTAGAAAAGCGCCGACAGGAGGCTGAAGCTGAAGAACTTAAGCGTGTCCCTTATGTAGAAGAGATGGAGCTCTGTGCCTATCTTGCTAACTATCTAGAAACCACGTATGGGAAATCAGGCCCCGATCAAGCGAAGCAGTCTGAGTTCGATACATCTGACTCATCCCCCACTGGGGAGTTTGAGGGTCTTGTACTTTCGGGGAAGAATGCTGTGAGAAACCATGATGACGACTATTTGAGTCTCAACAAAGCTACAGGGAAGAAGAAAGGCCGTGGGAAAAAACGAGGTGGTCTAAAGGTGAACGATAAGATCATGCTCGTTCCAGAAACAATAGAAATATTTGCGCTCCTGGAATTGGAGCCACCTTCCACTGTAAGTGGGGTTGTTGAAGCTGTCAAGAGTCTGGCTCAGAAAAAGCAATGGTTTTCCTCGCTGGAGCGAGGTGCCGTACCCTCGATCCGGGACAAGCAGAAAGCTGACGAAGCGAAACAGCAACAATCGAAGCGCGAGCGTGATGACAGGGACCCGTTATCAAATCCTGTTCACGACAAAGTCCGAGATCCAAAATCCAAGGGCAAGGGTTTCAATGCGGTGGACCTAGCTGCGGCTGATGATGCTTTCCCGCTATTACCTGGTATGATATCTGCGATTCCCGAAACCAAGGGTGATGTTCACGCCAACGATGCGAGTACCGACTAAACGAGATAATACGTGCCAGAGAGGTTTGAGACGACAACCTCGTTCCCATCCCTGGTAACACAGGGGAGTGATCCGACCAGAGCCTAGTATCATCCTCGCACGCAGCAATTTTGAGATCGAGCGCATGCGACCATCACCTTGCGCAAGGCCGCGACTGGGACTTGGCAATTTACCTTGCCGACGCGGCCAATCACAGTAGGGTCCCACAGCAGCAGCAAGTGCAGCACCGCAAGTAAGCAATTCCTCGGCTGCGTTCCTCGGCAAGGGTGAGATTAGGGGGTTTTAGTCGCCCTAGTTGGGTTTTAGTCGCTCTAGTAGGCCCTCTTCCGAAGTTCCTGCGTTTGTATTTCTCCACGGCTTGTGCCAGGGGAATGGCGGACGACTGTTCGTTTCGAATTTTGGTTTCGCGCACTGATTCTGGCTGCCAGCGAAGGCAACCAGACCCGGAATAAAGACAAAACCCAACAGGCAGTGGGCAGGCTGGGTATTTGCTTGCTTGCAGCTATATTGCTGAGGGCTGGTCTAGTATGCGG